CTTCTGAGGTCCCCCAGTAGAAAAAATGTAGTGTCCAAAGGAATATCACTGCTCAAAACCTATTAGCTTTTTGATATACTTCAGGCCAAATTCTCAGTAGGTGTAAAAAGCTGAAACATCAGAGGAGCCAAGTTAATTTTCACAAGCTGACAATCTGGCGCATCATCTCAGAATGTACATACAAATGACCATTCTCAAAATGCATACAGCAAGGTAGCACTCAGCTCATTTTAGAGTTGTCATTTGCGTTGAACTCTATATTTAGGCACTCTGAATGGAATTCTTAAACAAATAGACCAAAATATTGCCATACAAACACGGCAGCAAAAACCACAAATGGTAATCTGGCTTCAGGTAATATTTTGATGCCCTAGCAGCTGCATGCATGGGAGACAGAAATGAGTGATCTTAAGCAAGAATAGCTAGTTTACATAAGAAAAGGATTGTTGAGCAGGCCACATGTGGTCATGCCATGGGGAAATACGTAACTAAACCAGGAACCATTCTATTCATCATTCATAAGACGCCAATATGGTTCTCAAGGAGATGCCGTGTATACAGGTCTGTCTCATCTTATGCGGGGGTTCCGTTCCGCGGTTAGCGCGTAAAGCGAAAACCGCGTATAGCCAAAATCCCATTGAGTTCAATGGAGGGCGAAATTGCCCGCACTACAGGTATAGTATTAAAATTGTTATTTTTCTCTTTTTATTTTTGCCGACCGCGTAAAGTTGAAATCGTGCATGTTAAATGCGCATAAGATGCGACAGACCTGTATCTTGTCTCCTACTAACACAGGACAGGATGCTACCACTATAATTCTTAATTCTTAATTCAACAGATAATGAGGAAATATAACACAGAAGGGAAAAATGTGAAATTAATTACCCCAAGGAAGATTTGGGAATGAAGACACCGACTTGGGGTTCTTTCAACAAACAAATCATCACTAATAGGACAAACTGCTATCAACCAGATCACTCAGCACTTTGCAAGAGATGGAAGCTAATTACTAATAAGTCAGTAGGTTAATTGGGCTATTCTGTAGTTAGTAATTTAAGTTCAAGAGTGAGATTCTGGCCCCATTGAAGTTAATGGTAAAACTTCCATTGAGTTCATTGGGGCCAGGATTTCACCCTAAATATTTTATTTGCCTAAATTACATCTCACTGTCCTTTAAAATCACTAGCCTATATTTGTGTTCCACACATCTATGTAATACTATTAATATAATAAAAACAATCTGGGATAAAAAATGGTCAGGTTTGCAATAGCACAAACTGACCTGTACAAATTGATTGAAGTTCGATTTTTGCCTCTGACTGGCAGAAATAAAAACAGAAGCTTGTTTAGCTAGCATAAGGAGTCTACGGTAACTTTCTATCTTGAAAGGACAAGAGTCATTTTCACTGTTTAATATACTAAAAGAGAGTTCTGATAATTTTTTGGCATAAGCCTTCATTAAACTAAATTATTTTGATGCTACAAGGCGTTTGGCAGAAGATTTGAGGTGTCTGTTAAACCCATTCCATAATTTGCCATGTTTATTAACACTGTGTCATTGTGCCATACATTCTTAACGTTTTCCAGTGAACAATTTGGTAGTTCAGAGTAAAACTACATATTGAGTCAGTTTTATGTTTGCTGTCGGCTACCGTTTCTATGCATTTTTAAAATAAGGGTTTGTCAATATCCTCTCAACTCCCAGTTTGCAAAAAAGTCTGCCTGAGCATATGGCCAAATTTCTTGGATGATCATTGTCATGGGCGCTTCTATTTTAAGATAGCCAGTTTAGTACAAAATAATGGTGAGCAAGGTGTAAGATCCTAAGCAGAACAGAAAGAGAGGGGGAAAAAAGGAGGAGGGGGAAATAGGAGGGCAGAGAAGAATTTTTCATTTTACTAAATTTATTTTCCCTTGTAAAGAGTATAATCTACTCCCAACTATCAAAGTCAAATTCGATCTGATTTATTATTGCACATAGATCCATTTTATCCCTTTTTTTCCTGAATATATAATTGCTTCAGCTGTACAGATTAAGAGCTCCAAATTGAAAAACAGTAATAGCTATGACTTCAGGCTTATCCTAATTCACATTGTCACTGGAAGTTAGTATTAAATCTATTAATGATGCTCAAATTTCCAGGAGTTGTTTCTTGTGGCTCAGTTATAAACATCATGAGCATCAGCCCCTAATGGGGAGATGCTCACCTCAGAAAAACCACCAGCATAATTACTGACAAGATAACATGGAGACTGAAACATCCACTGCTAGAGATGGTCAGGTTCTCCACTCTCTTACACCACCTTTATGTTTCCCCACTGAGATGTGGTATAAAACTGGTTAACAGGACAGCACATCGGGCCCACTGTCTCTTGGTGAGAGTTAAAGCAGTCCCAAGCGCACTGCAGCTGCCCATACACATGTATAATCTCTTGTGAAACACACATTGGGACCAAGGGCCAGATCTACAAAGGGATTAAGGTGCCTAAATCCAAAATTTAGAACCTCAACCCCCTTGTACAGCTGCCACCTAACCCTGTCGGTGCCTAAAATCGGCCAGCGGGCATGTGCACAGCTGCCTATGTCCTGACACCCAGCTCACATCTAAGCCCCAGTGGGATCCTCAAAATCGGCATTCCCCAACAGACCCCAATCTGGTAAACATGCTCAGAGGCCACCCTAGAAAACAGCAACTGGATGAGGCTTGGCACAAAACATAGCTAGAGGAGGTGGTGCTCCCCTTTGCGCAGTGGTAAGACCACTTGCACTAAACACAAGAAACCTAGGTTCAAATCCCCACACTACCTGATATGTGGGAGAGCTTGATTCAAGTCCCTGTGCTATGAGTACCCTAGGCACTAATGGGTGAAGAGGAGGAGGAGTAGCGGTGGCTGCTCCTTTTGATTTGTAAGAAATGGCCAACTTGGCTGACATACGTAACTCCAGGAGAGGGTCCACTGCAGTGAATCCCAGTTGGGGATAGGCACCTAAGTCCCAGAGGGGGAAGTGGCGGTTTAGGCTACACTCCTCTCTTCAATTTCCTATTGGCTAATCTTGGACTGCTCTGAGCTCAGCATGCTGGCGTTTTGTGGATCCCGTTCTCAGGCCCCTGCTTTCCCCATGCATTGCGTAAGGAGACTGGCACCTAACTTGGGGCTGTGGATTCCAGTAGGCAGCAGGGAATCTAAAGTTAAGCATTCCAAGGGTGAGCCTAAATCCCATGTATGGATCTAGCCCCAAGGATGAAATCCTGGCCCCACTGACATCAATGGCAAAATGCTCATTGCCATCTCTGGGGCCAGAATTTAACACAAGAAGTTTGTCTCACAAATATGGAAGTCTACTTGGTATGTAGATATAGGTATTAAATTTAGGACAATCTTAACCAAGTTGCCTGTGTGCATATGAATTATATAGCCTGCAGTCAGACCATCTTGTGTTGTGATCAGATTCCTCAAGGTTAGGCCAGGCCAGTACTTATGTAGGAAATACTAAGAAAATACCAGAGATGCTGGAAATAGCTTTGGTAATTTAGTACTGGACTCTTTTCCCTCTGAGTCAGTGCTAACGTCATTTCCCACCATGATATTTGGAAGCTGTGCTGTTACAGATGCAGTTTAATTAGATAAGACTTAGAACTGAAAATCTGATACCTTATTTGTAAGAGATCAGTGTGTGACTAATCCCAGTGTCCTCCTGACCAAATTACAATTAAAGAAATTGTCCTCTGCTCTCTAAATTCCCTCTGCAGAGTCAGAGAAATGTATTCATTTTCCAGTCTTACATACCTGGGTAGAGTTTGCTATGAAAAGTTAAACAGTTGCTATTTCACACCAGAGATGCCTGCATTTTGGTGTGATGTGAACTCATCCCTATGCAGTGATTACCTACTTCATTTGAAGTGCTTGAGGCTTGTTTATTTTTAAATCACTTGTAAGTCTTCTGGAAGGAGCTACGGCAGTGCAGTTGTAGTAGAGTGAAACAGAGTAAAAGGGAAAATTCTTGGAAGATGTAAAATATAATTTTGAATAACTGAAACTTTATGGTGATATAGCTAAGTGGTAAAGAAGAAACAGGAAGACTATCCTTTTTGACTACACCTGAAGCTCCATCCAAACCACCAAAGGAGAAAAGAACTAAATGATTCTCCTTTTGCTTAAGGTAGCTTTAAGAAATCAACGTGAAGAATAATCTAAGATCTGAAATCAATTTTCCCACCTCCCTATAAAAACCCTTAAAGACAGTCTTCAACAGCCATTAAATGGTAATAAAACATCGCAATGTGCGTTGATGGAGATGAGGAGTTTGAACAGAAGACACTTATGTTTAGTGATATTCCTTTATTTTGCAAAAAAAGTAATAGTTTGCCTTGAAAATATACACTTAGCTAAAAAAGAAAAGTCTGGCCTCAGTATCGAAATGGATTAATCAGTATGCACACTGGCTGAATTTGTTGAGTTTCAATAACTATCAGAAAGGAAAATGCATCTGATGGAAGTAAATTTCTGAAGCATGGGTGGAAAGCATTTGGATTTGCAGTCAACTTTGCAGTAAGAAAAGGTTAAATTACCAGAAGTTTATTTATGTTACAAATTATCACAATAAGGACTAATATAAAAATGAAAAAGCATTGAGGAAACAGGTCTACCAGGTACAAGAGTGCAAATTTATCAAGACATAAAAACTAGCTTGAAATTCCTTTCACTGGAAAACATGTGACCTTATATTATAAGAGTAGAAAAGATACTTCTGTAGATGTAAAATTATAATCACAATAATACCATGGAGTAAGTGAAAGAGAATGAACAATATAATACAAAAACAACGAGGAGTCCTTGTGGCACCTTAGAGACTAACAAATGTATTTGGGCATAAGCTTTCATGGGTTAGAACCCACTTCATCAGATGCACTGATGCATCTGATGAAGTGGGTTCTAGTCCACAAAAGCTTATGCCCAGATACATTTGTTAGTCTCTAAGGTGCCACAAGGACTCCTCGTTGTTTCTGCAATACAGACTAACACGGCTACCACTCTGAAACCAATATAATACAGTCCACAGTGATTATGACCTTTATGTTTTATAAACAACTTACTGAAGGAAATTGAAATTGGGTTTTTCTCTCTCTACTAATCAGTCTTGCTTCAGGCACATCTGTTTACACTTAGCCTATGAGCAATACAATAGCTTCTGTGTAACACACTTGTTTTCATGTTTACTTTTCCATGCCGCACATACAGTAGATAAACCACTTCCAAAAGTGAACTATGGGTCTAGTCATAAAACTCCACACAAGGTTCACTCATAGCTGCTGTGTAGGAATTACAAAGTCACTGAAGGAACATAAGGATGCATTATTGCTTTGTTCTGGAGATTTAAATGGAGATTCTTTATTGACTTCTACATAAATAACATTGTTAGGTCATTAAACAATTAAGGGCTTTTATAGCAGTTGTTAAAAATAAAGGACAGAATATGATACACTTTAGTACTACAGTACATAAAATACTGGAAGAGAAACAGAACTGCATTTTCAAATTCCAAAGCTGATTTCATCGTTGACTAGGCACATTGGTGAATATAATAGTCTAAGCAGTCCATAATAATCACGACAGAAGTCCCTGGAAAAGAGGAAAACAAAATACGTTTATGTACATCAGGAAACAAACAATTATTACTGACTCTCTGGAGACTGTCAGATTACAGGCAGCGGAAACAGATAATTGGAAATACAATAAATGTATGTAGATTTATGGAAAAGAATGCAAAAAAGGAGCTAATTGTTTAAATTTAGTACGCAGATGACAATAAAGCCTGCGTGCAATATGGAAAAATTAATAATTATATGATTAATCAATTGTTAAGATATTATTCACTTATGCTGATGGATTTGACTCTAGTGATATGTAGTGATTGACCAAGAGATGTGAGAACCTAAAATTCTACACTGAATGAACGAGCTCTTCTTAGTAATTAAGTTTGTCACAGTGAAACAGGATTATCTAATATCTAAACTACCTTCCTTGGTAGGTTATTCCATTATTCCAAAGAAAGCTGGAGATATCATAGAGGAAAATAAGGTCAAAGTGTGCTATTTTAGAAAGTAATGAGAAAAGATTTATACTGCAAATACTGAACCTATAAAAGAGTCTAAAATTCTGCTTCAATGTAGTTTCAATTTTTTGTTTTTGACAAAAAAAGATGCGCAATCAAATCCTTGCCGAAAGATCAAAAATATGGACATAAATTATAAAAATATTCCCTGTCCAAATATTTTTAAAATATAGTGATGCTACGGTCACTATTCACAAGGGTTCTTCTGTGTAGAAGTCTGTGTAGATTTAGATAAAGTCATAATAAGAACTATTAACTAAAATTGGCCTGAAGTGTGTAAGGGCTGCAGTTTTCATTTGATTGGTTCAAAAATTGCATATGGATTAACATCAGACTTTTTATGCAACCTTAACTCTGACACTGAAACTATTTTTTTAAAAGCTATTTTGAGGATATGGACAAAATCATGTTAATGTAGTAATTAAGTGTTTGACCCAGAAAGTTATGAACTTTCAGAGAAGACAGCTTCAACATACCCCCACTCTATTGTGCCTAGATATGGCAGCAGCTGTAAGAGTCAGCCTTGCTCACTAATTTTGGATCTCTGTAATTATTCTGGCCAAGGCAGATAGAAGTCTCAGCTGAACTTTTTAACGTGTACAAGTCTTATGGGGCCTTTTGGCTAAATCTTAAACTAAGTCTTGAATTTGTTCCAGCAAACTTTACATGTGCAAATGCAGGTTTTGTATATGCAAATGAAGAGACCTCCTAATGTTACTATGTTAAACAGTAACTATGTATGCATTATTTAAAAATATATAGTTCCATTTATACTACAAATTGCAAATTAAAGGCACCAAATTGCTGAAAGCTCCAGGAGCCATTTATTAATCAATTAACCTGGAATTTAAATGTTTCTTATGGGCTTAGTATCTAGAACTACCATTCAAAGTAGGAAATAAACCCCTCAAAAGTTAAAAGTTTCTGTCCTAGTTTCTGTCATTTTTTTTTATAGCACAGCACATAAATCTGGGTGAATTATTTTTTAACCTAGTATCTGACTAACCTCATTAGAAACAGTAATCCACAGCAAACATGCACACAAGCAGTAGATTCAAGCTCTGTAAATACATTTTTAAGGGATTTGACTTTCCCCTTCACCAGTATTCAACATGTTTCTTGTGCAGAAATGTTCATTTTGGTTCACCAAGTCATCCTGTACCAATTTTTTTCCTATCAAACTATTCTCCACGAAGTTGTTCTCAGAAAAATTATAGATTGGGACCTCTCTGATAGAATCTGTCAACATGACTTTCTATCAGGATTGAAGTTCTCTGTGGGGGACTGAGGGCATAAAATTATACTCATTTCCTTCTACGTTCCTCTATTAGATCAGCAACTCCCTTACCTAGTTAGCTGAAATTGATATTTCAAAGTTAATTCTTAATCTGAAGAATAGGAAGAATCCAACAACAGCTAGGGGAACAATGGGACAGTTCAATATATTAAGCTTTACATGTCAGACTGCCTGAAAAAAGGTACTTTTCTTTTTGGCAGACTCTTAAAGTAACTTCAGAATTCAAAACAATCACTGCCCTTAGTGATTATTTAAGGATTAACCCAGAGCCTCGCTAAGTCATTGGCAGTCTTTCCATTGGTTTCAATGGGTTTTGAATTAGGCCCTTAAAATGCTTTTCTCTGGTACATCATTGATCAGAGAGTTTAAAATATATGAATAGGTACATACCAAAGCATCAACAGATTTAGGTTTTTGTTCTCTTGGCTCCCCAAGACGTTTAGCGTTTCCTGACAAGAGAAAAGATCTGTTTACTAAATACAGAAGAAGACTTTAAAATATAAACTACAAACAAACAATTCAAATTAAACTATAATTAAAAAGACAAACTGAATCTTCAAGGAAAAGCTTTTGAAAACATTTGTAATGTTTAAGCACTGTTCTCAGTTACTAGAATTTATGGAAAAATAAGGTATTACAAACTACTAGTTATGAGGTTTTACATTTGTTTAATAGGGAATAGTTTGTCCAAATTAAACTGACTGAGCTAAGGCTTTTTAGATTACTAAAACAAATTAAACTTTTTAAAATGAGAATTTAGGTGAGCTTAAAGCCTTTCTAAAATCTAAACTGAAACTTTCTAATTTGTATCCTCCCTGATTTTATTGGTTATATTAAGATAAATTAAGTGAGATTAAAATCTTATTTGATTTATTTACCTTTGCAAATGAAGACCGTTTTAAGGGTTACACATCCTCTGCCTCTGACGAAAGCGACCTCAATTAGTCAAGTCAGAAAGTCTTTAAAAGCTTTGTGTTTATTGCTTCCAGCACGGAGCGAGGTGGTCATTAAGGTACCAAAATTCTCATAAAAATTCCAAAGTTGCACTAGTGAAAAAATGCTCAACAAGATGAAAACTAGTCACATCTTTTTCAGAAAATTCATTAGCTATTTTAAACCATTTTTAACCAAGATTATTTGTTTTATATGTGGCATTCAAGCAGATCCATACCATTTGGATATTTAACCAGCATTTAAATCTATCGTGAGTATATAAATGTACATTTAGGTTTATACCATTTTTAAAAAAAAAAGCTGTACAGTGTTTAGTATGAGCGTTTTATGTTGATCATTGTTAGATGAATTTCTCCCTGTTTACTACTATTTATGAAGGTTTATTATAAAATAAACTAAAGCATAAAATTACTCTCACACACACTGATTTTCTTTCAAAAGTTTATTTAGTATCAAGCAAGAGTAAATTTTGCTTAACACTACAGAACATTTCAAGACTTGAGTTACAAAATACCACATTATTTGCATTTGTAATTTGCTTCCCTTTTTACGCATGTTTGCAAGAGAAAAAACTAGCAAAATGGTTGAAAAATAAAACTAAAAGAACTAAATTGCTGAAAAACCTTTAAAATAAAAGGTTACGCTTATGTTAAAAGAATGGATTAACATATTTAGTAAACCTAGTTTTTGTTTAACACTAGTTAATCAGAGGTTATTTTTTTTGATCACCTATTTTTCAAATACAGTCTGGAAATAACAAAGTTCCTTGTTTTACATATCTTTCTGTCCAGGTTGTTCTTTCAACAAAATAGTTTAAGTTCAGTCCAGCCGTTCAATTTTTAAGCACTTTGATTTACTAAAAAGGGATTGTTTATAGAAAAAAATTACTTGGAACAGTATACAGGACTGGTGGAGATTGGATATTTCACAACATCAGACAGTACAATCAGTATCTGGCATATGGCTGGTCTCTGTAGATTCCCTTTGTTGTCCTTGCTGAAGGTGCCTTGTGTCTTGAGTTGGTCCATTCTTCTTGCCCTGAAACAAAGAAAAGCAATTATAATTAGACCTTTCCTAATGATCATTGTGGCAGTGTTTGTTTTTACTTATAATTTTTTTAGTTTAATTTTGGAGTTCAGTGCTTTTGCACTGACAGTTGTAGCGAATGAAGTCTAATATTTAGCCAAAGAACTGGTGAACTTCCCCATATGCTCTTCCACCATGCCTCAGTTCTGATTGGGATTAGCTGGGGGTGAGAATGTGTTTAGGCACCTATGATATTCAGTATGGCCTCTAATGAGGCTGCAAAGAAGAGTGCAACTTTGGTGGTAGATTGTGTTGTGGGTACTTATCCTAACAGGACCTGGAGTAAGAACATGACATTCTATGTAGGCTACTGAACAGCTATAAATCTCTCCTCCCCTCCAACTTCTTTTGGTCACTACCAATTTAGGATTACTTTGAATTAGAAAGCTACAAGTGAAAAGTTTCATAATTCCACTATGAACACCTGTGGCTTCCCTTCTGAAAACACAACCTAACACAGCATTTCAGATAACAGTGGATTTCACAGAAACAAATACATTTCCTGTAAAGCGCAAGATCTACAGAGCTGGATTTTTTTTTTAATAATCTTCAAAGAGCAAAGGAAATTGCTTGCCTCGCTTGTAACAACAAAATGAATAAACACACAAATAAAGATTTTCACAACACACACTGAACTGTATTATTAACAATAATAATGGACTGAATCAGAGTTCTAATGTGTTAGACATAGAAACACATAGGAAGACAGGGTCCCCCCCCCAAGGTGCTAACAATCTTACTGCAAATCTCGAAATATGATGAGGTACAATTAGCATTTTGTACTAAACTTCTGGTAAACAAGTTTGCCCTGACAAATAACAAGCTATCAGTTTTAAGTAACAAAAGATTTAATGAGAAAATTTTAATTTTTTTACCTTAAATATTGTAATGCTACAAAATGTTACATCTTGTGTCCTGCATTAGGCAGGTTGTAAGCTTTATCACTATCGATTTTTCCCTTAGTGAGATACTCTGAGAAATCAGACCCCTACTGTCAAACAGTTAACTTTAATGCTGAAATATACAATGATTTAAGCAATGCAGTCCACAGAGACCAATTTAAAGAACTGTGAGGGGCAAAAATTGGTTGAAGTGACCTCCTCTTTTGATGCACTCATCTAATCAATTACTTTCCCTCAAGTTACTTGCATCAATTCCCGTAGATGACATGTGGCAAACCTATATGTTCAAAATGTTTCTTATGACAAACAAATCTTAGCTGAGGTCATCATTGCTTCAGGGAGGAGACATCGTAAAATGCACTTCAAAAGATACACCAGGAAATGGTTTTCAGTTATGTTCTAAAAAATGTCATAACATCCATTAACCACAGTCATGATTCACTTGCACCAGTCACTGGCAATTCATGAGTTTTTGAGCTTCCTGACTGATCGAAAACTGCATTTCTCTGATCTCTAGCCAGAGGTATGAAGTAAAGGTGCCTTTTAACATGCTTTATGCTTCTAATCCATAACAGATTCCTTTAATTAAACCTGTCACTGCTGCACTTCTGATTTGAAAAAAATTAATCCTATCGTGGCATATGCTTTTTGCTTTATTATGTGCTGTCTTGCCTTCATACAAGTACTCCAGTACCCTTGTGTCTATTACATACCTAAAATACTTTATAGCTTTTATATAATTACTACCTGCTTGCGTTTACAGAACTGGAGCTTGGAAATTAATTTATACACCAAAAGACCATAAACTAAGTGTGCAATGTGCTCAATTCAGCCCTGATTCAGCAAAGAATTTAAGCATATGCTCAAGTCCCACTGACTTCAATGAGTCTTAAGCACATGCTTTACATTAAGCATATGCTTAGGTACTCTGCTGAATTGAGGTTTTGTGGCCCAATTCTTTGCCATCCTTACTCACACTAAATATTATTGTACGCTGAAAATAATCCCATTGATTTGGGGGAATGTAATAAATAGGAGTAAGGATGGAAAATCTAGCCCTTAGTGCTTATTTTTACTGTTATATGGCAAAGATAGCAAACAAAATTACAAAAAACAACCCCCCCCCCCGAAACAAACC